CTTACATGATTATTAGAAGATGGTCGTATTTTTAGTTGAGAATGAATCGTTTTATCATTGATGTTTTGGGCTGCGACACCGGTTGGGGCCATTAATAAGTACTTTTTGTGATGTGATTGGAGGTGGTTTATGATTAAAGTTATGAGATATGATTTGCCGGTTCCTGCGGAGCCAGTTAAGAAAAAATAGGGATGACCACGTTCACCTACACATCTCCACGCTGAAGTTAATAGATTGAATGCTGCATATTGGTCTGTCGCTGTTTCTAATAATGAGTATCGAGAAATTAAGGGTGGAGAGCACATTAAATTATTGAGCTGATTATGTATAATAGACGCAATATTACGCTGCATGGTACGTATTATTTTATCTATTTGTAGACGGTAATTATGAGAAAACCTAGTAACTCTCGCTGATGTATTTTGACTAATGCTCTGCATAACTTGATCAAATTGCTCGGGGAATATTGATCGAAAATGATCCCGGTAGTTCGAATATGATCCCAACAATTGATTCTCACTTCTACAGGGTAAATGAAGCAAAAGTTGTTGATAAAAAAACGATTCACCATCTTCTACTGAAAGATATTGAAATCGTATTAAAATAGATTTTTTTCTCTTAATTACAAATTTACCCTGTTGATCTATCTAATAGATAGTATTTGAATTTGGTTGATTGGATTTTAGTTTGTAGTTTTGATGATAATGTGGATATGTAATATTATCAAATTATGAATCAATAGGTCTAAAAAAATATTTGTCAATAGCATCCGCCCAGTAAGGATTAGAAGTTTCGTCATTTAATAGATGAATTGGTTTTACACACTTTGATCGTACATTAGGAGGTGCAGTTGGTAAATATTCCGTGGCAATAGTGGAACGACAAATAGAGTATCTAATCAAAAGAATCATCAATTCCATTGCGCCGAGACGCCTGGCCAAGATATGAGATCGATAGGTGTCATGTTCAGTCAGTTTAAATAAATCAGAACTTTCTGGTTTGGTAATGTACTTGGTCATATATCTAGCAAAAGATTTAGAGGTGACATATTGAAAGTTACAGTATCCTTGCCATAACAACAATGTAGGCGCGTGATAGGGAACAACCCATCGATCAGCTTCTTTGGTCTGACGATAAGTGTAGCGTAAAAAAGTAGGATCAAAGTAAGTACATTCGGAGAGTGGTGCAGGAAATTTTTTTCTGCATTGTTCCCCAGGGAGAGGTGGCCCCCCACATTTATTGGGACAACAGCGATGGATTTGATGATTACTAACTAGTTCATAAAGAACTGGTTCAGTTTGAGGGTCGGGAAGATCAGCACGAATAATATTGCATTCTATCAGACGTAGAATTGGCGTATCAAGATAAGCTATACCATGGGTATGTATACTGCTGCGATTCTGAATTTCATCTTGTTCAAAATGATGTAACCATTTACCCTATTCGGCTAGGTTTGGATTTTTCCATAGCAAATTTCGAACAGAATTTAATCTTTGATAGTAATGAAAATAGGTATGTAGAGGGCGATTTGTTGGTAATGTACAACGGTCATCAGTACGTGATAAAATTTTTAACAAATGTGGCCAAAGGCCTTCAGCCATAGTCATTATGTAGAAAATTTGGGGTAGGCCAAAACTTTGAAGCATTGCATTTATAGAAAGTTGACGCCGATGAAAATACGTATCACCAGTTCGGATATAAGATGGAAGCGTAGTAGTTAATTTTTCATTAATAACTGGCCGATGATTGTAAATGCTTCAATTAATCAGATCTGCAATTGTTAGAAGTTGCAAGCGATCGATATTTCGTTGACGTAAAATGCATTGCCTATTTTGATGGTTTTGTAGCTTTTCTAAATTAATATAAGACCAATAGGGCCAGTACCAATGGAGACAGAATCGAGGATCTGGACACAATAACCGAAGTTTAATATATTTAGCATACGTGTCAATATAGTTACGACGATTAGTTAATTCTTTAGAGATTTCTCCCCAATGACCATTCCTATCTGGAAAGAGATCAGGAAAAAGTATTGCTTCTAAATTAGGATCATTATATGGAATTGGTAACTCTATATTATTAGGATTTGTAATGAAACCCGCTAATAGTCTACTATAATGAAAATCTTCATTGTGAATCTCAGGGTCAAAATCATACGGTGGTACTACTATATTAGGATGATGTCGCAGGGATTGTTATTGGGTAATATATTTTCATGATCATTAATTACCTGTGCTGTAGGAAAAACGAGGGGTGGACGCATAATAATAATTGATGAAAACATTTGATCAAATTGTTTAAAGAATCAATTATTGATTTTCAACCAGTTAGCTGCATGTAGCAGAGATGGGTGAAACCAATTATCATTAGGCGCAGAATCTATGATAGCGCCTAACATTCTAGCGTAAATCTGTAAGGCACAAACATTTTTTGAGAGCCCAAATGCACCAGTAAGATGTCAATAATGCGTAAAACGATTTGTATTTTCTGCACGCCCGAGAGAGCAACTTAGGTGAATAGACGAAAGCCAACACCGATAAAACATCAGAACATTCGCTAAAGCACTTGGAATAGGAGCGAGTGTTGGAGCATTGTGACGTTTAGCGATAGATATACACAAAGTGCACACGGCGATATAATTTTCTTTATTAGGATGTTTAGTGAGTGATAAATGTGGGAAAGCTCGACAAAGATCATAATCTATATTGATATCGCGAGAGACCCATCTTGCTTGAGCAGGAAACATAAGAATCGAGCAATGTGAACAAGATACACACGGAAACATATACAAAATCTCAGTCTGAAATCGATGATTGAGAGAAATCAAGTAACAAGAAGGTTGCCAAGGGGGAAAAGAGATTAGGTCTGATGTTGATTGATTTTGATTTTCAGACAAACAAATAGGCGCTCGTGGATGGTTAGCATTAACATTTATTCGGGCTTGGTGACCCAAAAAAACATCATTACATAAATCATAATAGGGATTATCTTCATCTAAATCAATTATAGTTAATTGGGTTATTGGAAGAGACATCGTATGCGTTCGATAAAGATTAATATCAGTTTTTTATATTACGCCCAGGTTGACTGAGATTTATTGACGACGATGGAAGAGAAATTTTTTCACTTTTATAACCTCTAGGAAAGTTCAAATCTATTGCTCTAAAGATAACAAACCGATCATCGTAAAATACTATGGTTATTTTATGCAGGGACAATTAAGAATTTTTGTAAATATTTGTATTTCTTTTAAAAGGGGTATTTAAAAGTTAATAATAACATTTAATGTATTATTTGTGATGATGCTTATATAGATGTTTATTGCTTATTTATTCAGCAAAACAATCAATATTTGTTAATAATGTTAATAATAAATAGAAGAGCCTGGGTGACTATTAGATAATTGCATGACTCAGTTGCGCTAACACAAGGGAAGGTGTTAAATTTAACGATAATATGATAATATTTTATATAAGAAAAGACATATACGCATATTTTTATAATTGCTAATAGATTATAAAATATGGATCGTGATGTAATAATTTAAATCGCGTGATATTTATATAAGGAAAGCAATTTACTTCATATCGTTAAAATTCGATTTTAAATGATAAGGCGACGCAAAATAAATTTTTCGTTTAACATTACATGAAATCTGAAAATTGGGTCGGTTGGTCGAATTTTTTTTTTTTTTTTTATAATTTTTTTTTTTTTTTTAGTTTGATCGTCACCAAAGGAAACCCAGACCTTGGGCTTATGATTTTATTTGTTGCTGACATGTTTTAGTTCAGTAAATTTATAAATTTAAAGGCTCGAAGTATAGTTTTCGCTTGGTGTCCTATCAGATAATTCCAGAAAATTAAGGTCACCGTCGGTGAACACCGGATAAAAAAGATGGAAAAAATAAACAGCAAAAATGGAATAATTAGTATAATTGATGAAAATTTTGGGTCAGCGGGTAATGTTAAACGAAAAATCAACTTTGCATGGCCTAATAGCAGTGTTGTCAGTGTCATTGTCATCAGATTACTATAATCGAGTTGCTAAATAACTCAGAGTTATTTGGCAAAATTTTTTTTCATTTTGATATTTGGCAAAAATTGATAATTTATTTTGATGACTTGGTAAAAATTGATAGTTAATTTTGGTTATTCAGCAAAAATTGATATGTACATAGTTTATTTCATTCTCGGGATGAAGTACGTATATTTTAGTAAAGAGTTTCAGAATTAACATGCGAGAACCTAATTTTGACAGAGATAGATAACGTATTTATTTTCAAATGAGCTTGATAATGTACTTATTTTCAAATGAGCTTGATAATGTACTTATTTTCAAATGAGCGATGTATCGACTTTATTTTATTTTCCGATAAATTTGTAATAAGGGGTTCAGATTTTGATAGAAATAGATAACGTATTTATTTATTTTAAATGAGTGATATATAAACTTTATTTCATTTTCTGATAAATTTGAAATAATAATTATTGTCATTGAAAAGTCTATTTATTAGCTTTATTTCATTTTCCAATAAGGCCAGACCAAGTTGATTATGTGTTTTACATTACCCCCATCTCCCTTCCAGGAGGGGTGGTTCACATAGTAAATTTTAAAAAATTTTTTTTTTACTATGGGGGGGGGTAATGTAAAACACATAATCAACTTGGTCTGGCCTAAATTTGAAATGATGATTTTTGTAGTTGAAAAGTCTATTTATTTTGTTAAATCGGAGTCTCTAAACTCTCCCATTTCATTTTCCGTTTCAAAATTTTGATACGCAAATAAAAATTTTTTAAATTAATTCTGAAACCACCAATAATGATTTTTATCGTTAAAAAATTTATTTGTTTCGTTAATGACCTTACGTGACGAAAGTCACGTTAAGGTAATTATCACGAGGATCACCTGACCCTTACCCAATAGAAGTTTTGTGTAACAAGGAATAAAATATATAATTGACTTAGGGGCAGTTAATAGTGGATAGTGTTTTGTCTCTTCGTTGCCCGATATTGTATCTGGCTTTTAGTTGCTACTTTGATCGTGCGTTGAGTTACTGTTAAACACTAAAAAATTCAAACCTTAAGCTTCAACTTCGGAACTAAAAACTTAAAAGTGGAACGTTAAACTTCAAAACCTTTAACTTTAAGCTTCAAACCCTTAAACTTCAAACTTAAACTTCGAATCGTAATCTTAAACTTTGCACCTTAAACTCTGAGCCATAGCTTTAAACCTTAAAACCTTTAAACGTTTAAAACTTTGGATTAAAACCTTTAAGCGAAAAACATTTGAGTACAGTAAAATATAATGGCTGAGTCAAACTTGTCCAAAGCTGTCCTAGAGGATATTTGTCGTGGTCTTGGCTTGGCTACCGAAGGTGTTAAGGCCGACCTAGTTCAAAGAATAAAGGAGTATACACTTTACGATGTTCGCAAGCAACAGACTGAGTCAAACGAGAATATGGATGATGAAATGAATATAGACGAACAGTTACCAGACTCACTCTCTGAGGGTTCAGGTACATCAGCTCTAAACTTCCAAGCACATTCTTTGTGTGAATTGGTTCAAAATATGCATCATAAAGGGAAAGCAGTGGTGGTAGAAACAGATGAGCCTGGAGTTAGTCACCCATATGGTCATGAGACCCAGAATGTTGGTAACGTCAATGTACATGGGACAGAACAAGTATCACAACAGAGTTCTAATAAGCGTAAAGTTTTTGAATTTGAGGAAGATAGAGCTAATATTCTGGAAACCAGTTTGTTACAGAGTTTTAAGAAAATTGAAAGTGCATTGTTGAAGTTTAACGATAAATTGAACATGGTGGCAGATCAAGTACAGGATACGCGTCATAAGGTGGAAATAAATGAAGCTTGGCCTATCCACAAGTTTGAAAAGTTACGTGATCAACATGAGTACAATGCTTTATATTCAATCGGGAAAGAACTTGA